AAGTTGCATACATCCTGCTGTGTTTGGTGCAAACACATGACAAGTACGTATCTGGAAAATGGAATAAGTAAAACCCCACGAATAAGAACCTGTTAGGCTAAAATTTGCCCGCTAAGCCTCTCTACATAAGAAACTGTTTAGCCCAAAATTTGAAACAGGTCCCTATTTTCTAAAATCTATGAAAAAATTCATTAGACTTGGGCAAATAAGATATAAGTCAACATTCAAGTAACATTCAGAAAATCCTCTTTGGAGACGTACTAGGTGCATCATCACTCCAACTGCAATGTAAATGCCAATGATATACCCTAATAATTAGCTATATTGTACTTTTTCTTCAGAAAATAAGAACCTAAATAGGCGCTGGTGAACTGAAAAACGTCAAATCCTACAAATATCTTGTACTAATAATGAGTCCTTATGGAAAATTTACTCTCGCTAGGCAGGAGTTGAAGAAAGTTGCACTTAAAGCAGACTCAATAAATTACGAAAAGAGATGGAGAACCACTTTCATAGAAAATATAAAATTAACGATGAAGTTATTTGATGCACTGACCGATCTCCCATAGTCTTTTACGCGAGTGAAGTGTGGGGGATTGATTGCAATGGACAATTATATTAGAAAAGGATCCAACAGAAGTAATTCAAAATAAATTCCTGAAGTGGTCGCTGGGAGTCAATTATAAATACTGCAATAACAATGCGTGAAGAGCTGATCATGAGACAGGAATGTTTCTAATGAGAATTGAAGCCCAATGTAGGAAGTTTACAGTTCTGGTTAACCTTAACCAAAAATGAAGACAAATTATCCCAAATAGCATACAATGACATTAAATGGAATGAAAATAAAGCTTTCTGGAGCAAAAAAATCAAAAGCTTATTGGAACAGATAGGATTAGGAGAATTCTGGATGAAAGCACACTATGCGGACATAGGAATTCGTAAACATGACCAGGCAACGACTTAAGGATATCGCACCACAAAGATGGCTGAGTGAAAACCAAAGCAACAAAATGAGAACCTACCGGTTATTCAAAACGATAGACAATTACAAATGTGAAGATTACCTACATCACGTCACAAATACGCGACACAGAATAGCTCCAACAAAACTGCAACTTAGCAACCACAAATTAGCCATAGAGACAGGACGTTATCTGAGACCGTTTAAGAATCCTGCAGGAAGAATTTCCCCAATTTGTAAAATAGACAACAACTTTATTGACTTTATCTTCGACAAGAAGATTTCACTACCAAAACAGTCAATACAATGACAAATGAAACAAAGTAAAAAGTTAAGTAAGAAAGAAAGGAACAACAACTATATCTTGAACATTATCATAAAAGAAAAATTAGAAATGGAGGACGAATACCATTTTCTAAATATATGCCCTGCCTACCAGGAAAAAAAGATATTCGTTACTAGATTATTTGGAAAAAGAATATAGAATAAAAATAAGCAGAATGTCAACTGAAAAAATATTTAATCATGTTTCTAATGAACCCCGGGCCTAGCGGAAATACTAAAACACAAAAACTAATAGCAAAACATCAAGAATGCTTTGAAAAATGGAAAGGGGAAGACGGCAAAAAGTAAATACTCTAGGACTTAATCAAATTAAACACTTTATTAGCCACATATGGTTAGGAATTTTTGTTGTTTGTAATTTTAGATATTGGGAAATAGTTGATATACTATTTATTGTAAGACTTCAAATAAAAAACATGTACGTATGTCTGTATGTATGGCTAATGGGGATGTGGCGCTGGATGGGGTCGCATTTTCACGACTGGACTAACTAGAATGGGGTCGCACATTTTCGGATTTTTGGGGGTAAGATTTGAGGAGAATTTTCATTGATATGCTGCACCTCTATGGCACACGCGGGGAATACTAAGATATGGGCGAAAGTAATTTCGGGGTATGCGAAGAAGTGCAGCACTGACCGGGTTTTCGTCGCTGGGGGGAAAAGGGAGGGTAAAAAACGCAAGTATATATGCACTCTCGGGGCATGAACGCATAGAAAAGCGATCTGATCAGTGATCCTGATGTTGGCAACGCATTTAAATGCTACGCTCAATACCCAGGGGTAATGCAAGGGTCTCAGGAGGAAAAACGTGCTTATAAATTATGGGCCCCGCGTGTCCATTTCGGAGCAAACATATCAATGAAAATAGTTCTTCATATTTACGGTTAGCAAACGTGGCAGAATGTTTGTACGGTAGATGAAAAGTAAAGTGTTCTTCATTCAATCTAAAAAATGGGTCAATTCGAAAAAAATAGAAAGTGACTAAGGTGGGACCGCGAAAATTACATATTTCCCTAAAAGTGACAAATATGGGGTCTATAATTGGCCACAAATTAGACTATAATGGCGCAGGGGCTCTGAGAGGCCAGCGGCACATACACAGCAAAAATTAACCCAAGTACAAAAGGTCTAAATTGTAATTTTACACTAATATATATCCTTTCCTGTCACCACAGAATTGCAGTTTGCTAAAAATTACTTCTGCTATGACCAAAATTCCAATTGTTATAATTGGGCAACACGGAACGAGTGCTACAAAAACCCCGCCTATATGCTTCAATTTTGCTGTGGCTCCTGCCGGAATATAGGTAAGCTGGCGATGTTTATCACAGACTGGCCTCCATCTTTTTGTTTATTTTTTTTGCTTTCATGGGATTTTAATCAAGTTATGAAGACATTGTGGTAAAGTGGTCAGTGCGTGAAACGCGCATTTCGGAGATGCGAGGCTTGATTCCCCGTTTTGACCACCAGCTAGATTTTTCATAGTACCTAGTGGAAGCGGAATCATGAATCATGGTTACAAAAAATGTAAGAATCATGAATCTTTGTTTTAAAACTTGGGAATCATGAATCTTCGTACTTCGGTTCGGGAATCATGAATAACGAGACTCTGAGAAAAGCTTAACAAAATGCACGTATGAATTAATTGCGTTCGATCCAGGGAATGCGGGATATGGCGTTTCCGAGGGTCCAAGTTTTGAAAAATTTTTCCGGGGGAGCATGCAACCCCGTACCCCCCTTATATAATTCGAGCATTCGGGGATGACAGTCCGCTTGTTTCTCCAGTAACTCTGGTGCTGACTGTTCAGTTCCCCTCCAAAAAATTCCACACCTGGACAAAAAGAATGATTATACCGAGTATGGATGAAAACAGAACAGCTGACAGAAGTTTGAACACCAAAGAAACTATACAAAACGAGACTAAGTTGCCACTGAGACTGAATCATTAAGTCAATAGGTGATCAAAGGTCTTCGTGAATCATGAACCTGGAAGAAATGTTTTGTAGGAATCATGAATCATTGAGGCAAAAACGACAGGAATCATGAATATCAAGATTCAAATGATTCCGCTTCTATTCCCGAACGTAGTCCTAATCCTCGACCAGCCTTGCAAAAAGTCGGTCGCCAATTGGGATTGATTATCGAATTAAACTTAATTTTATTTTTAGTTGTTAAAGATTATTTGAGGGGGGCCGTGTTCGTACTAAGTCGGCAGCTGAGCAAATATCTTCATTTTATTACATCAGTTCAATTTAAATTTTCCAAGTTTCTTTATTTTCACATTTTTTCACCCTTGCACAACAAGAGTTGATAACTTGTACGATTTAGTTTTGTGTCTTCTAATAAATATTTGTCTATTTCTCAGGCATCATTGTCCCGTGGTAGACCACTCAAGGACACTGGGACAGTTAATCAGTAATCAGTATTTTAATTCAAATGTTAACGTTTTATAGTTTGTCCAGCTCGTCAGCTCGCCACCAAAGCATCTAGGCTGCGAACACAGACGTATTTCCGGTCGTCGCCTCTCTACGACCGGAAATAAGTTTGTGTTTGCAGGCTACCAAACCTTCTCGCCGCGAAATCGCCTCCAAGAATAGAACTTAGCTTTTAATATTGTTTTAAAACGTCCCAGGCATACACAATAAATGAAAAGAGCTTTCATGAACGGAAATTTACTCTTCACCGTTACTTTATTATCATATCTCAAAGAAAATGACTGGTATAGAGAGCGAAGTAACGACAGCGACGGCTAAAGAAAACGTCAAATAAACTATTAAGTGAATTTTGCGCTGCTTCAAACTTTATTGCGCTTATATTCCATCTCGTTCAATTCATCAAATGTTGGCGGCAAAGTTTTCTTGAGCTGAATTTTAAAAGACTCTATCGAAGTCCAGGAAAACAAAAAGAAAGTCGTTGTCTTGTGTTCACAACCTCCAAAAAACAGAAGAAAAAAAAAACACGTGAAAAGAACCACTTTCGTGCCGTGACGGCAAAAAAATGTACAAAAAAGCGTAATGCACGTGCAGAGTTGTTGCTTTTTTCTAATCAAACCTGTTGCTTTTTTGCCGTTCTCGTTGCCGTCGCCGTCGTCGCTTTTAATTAAGCTCTCTAATGTGAAACTTTTCTGCCTGCTGTTAAAAGATATTTTCTCTCGGTATAGCTCTGGCCCTGAGAAAGGCTAATTTTGTTAACCTGAATATTGGCCTATAATAAATCAGCCCTTTGCGGAATTGCCGTAGTGCCATCCTTGCATTCAGTTTTGTTGTTGTTGGTTTTTAATCTGTCATATGTCAAATTTTACATTCACCGAGACTATTAACAGCTTAAGAAGTTCGACTCAAGGAGCGTCAGTTAGGATCGACAGATTTGTATTTGAGCTGATTTGAATAAGTTTGACGAAAAAGTAAAAATCGTAGATAAGAATCTCACTTCGTCAATCATTTCAGAGTTAACCATTTGTGGCGATTCGACTTTTTGGTGGCAACTGATTTCGTTGGTGGCGAAATGATTTCAGTGGGGGCGTGATGACCGTAAAACTCGTATAGAACTTAAGTAAAGGCCGAAATATTAAACGATTAAAGTAGAATTTTGCACAATCAGGATTTATTTTGAATATATTTTGTCTACAACCTATACTTCTTCGCTCGCAAATGGAGAAGTAGGGGGGGGGGGGGGGGGGGGGGGGGGTTGGAAAAATAAAGATCAAGTAAGAGGAAAGCGGGAAAAATGGGATAAGGTTTGGTCCATACAAAGGCAGCCCAAACTTGCATTAACTTGTCTGACCTTTTGCAGATGTCAGTGCAAAAGGCAGTGCATTCTAACCTCGTCAGTGTTGCGAGTGTTGTTTCTTCTAATCGCCATAACGAATTGCAGAAAATTACCATAACACTCTTTAAGTGTGCGGGCTCGCCTCAAAGAAGCTTTTTCAAGAACTCCCGCTTTGATTTTATTACGTGTCGGCTGCTTTTAAAATTTACACTCCAAACAGGAGACGGTCTTCGAACCCTGCAACTAAACTGTATGTTTACTTGTGAAACTTTTAATGTTATCTATTTGATTCAATGTCGCCTGTGTAATCTACAATATATTGGAGAAACTAAACGTCGCCTCAAAGACCGTTTTAATGAACACAGACAACCCCTACTCAACCCTACTGGTAATTACACCCATACTGCAGTTTCAGAACAGTTTCTTACCAGCAATCATTCCGACAATGATATGCTTTTGATTCCTACTGAAAAACTTAAAAATGGGCGTGATTCTTTCAGGAAACCACGTGAAGCCCACCTTATCCATAAAGCTAAGACAATTGAGCCTCTGGGCATCAATTAACGTGATGAACTGTAACTATATATAGTATATCTTTTATTTTTTTGTTATCTTCTCTTTTTAAGTAGCCACACCGTACCACGTCATGTTATAAATTTCCGGTCATTATTTTACTTCATATATATTTCTGTAAATTCGTGACATCTCAATAACAATTTCAATAAACCTAATGAAGACTGGTATTGACCAGTCGAAATATCGCAACTTAACTCTATTTCACGTTGTTTGATCAGTCCCTGGAAAAGTCTTCTTGACGGTAACGTTTACTATTATTGCTAGTGTCACGCCATTCAAAATAGATCAATATAAAAACCAAAACCGTTCAATAGATAAAGTCCAGAATCTGGGAAATGAAAGGAGGTACATATACAAAGACCCTTGCCAAGATTCAGGTCAGAGGAATATTTCGTATACGAGATATCCGAAGAAATGTTTTACCCAAACTTATAGAGATTTGTATGGAGACGCCATGCTGGTGCTCACCTGGATGAGCTCCAACATGGCGGACGGAAACCAACAGAAACATCTGTTACCCAGTTTCGCTACAAAAGCGTGAATTTATTCTTCGAGAAACTCATAAACATTAAAGTAATACTCTTTCTAATACATGAACTGTTTAGTTAGCAAAATTTCCTGAAATAAGTCATTTTTTTAACCTACATGACAGCTCTCTTGGCCGTCATGTAAATGTCGCGTCACGCAAAGGCTTAGAAATTCAAGCGTACTCTATAACAAAACCAAAGAACCCTTTTGAAGCGAAAATTTGTATGAAAACTAGTTTTCAGCTGCTCTAATGCATCGTGAAAGTAAAAACTCGGTAGGATCGATAGTTTTTTAGTTTGAAGTTTAGTGACGTCATGTGAAAACCAACAATTGGTAATATTGCTAGCGTATGCGAATATGACAGATATGTAAATTGTTCCACTGAAAAGGCGATACATTCAATGGTTTACCACTGAACCTGCTCTCATATAAAGTCATGGTATTACCGTCAATAATTGTGGATCATTGTGCTAGTTTCTGTAAATTATGCTCATAGCAAAAATGCCGAAACTATGCCTCTACCATTTATTTTAAATGAGGTAAAAACACCTCAATACGTATGCAACAGACACTGTAAATGGCAAACACATTTACCCTATTTACATCTAAAAATTTCAAGAGAACATAATTCGTTGTCTAACAACTATAAAAACTCAAATAATTCACAACCAGCACGCAGGCGCCATCTTGGGTAACCAAGCTAGTTATGCGCATGCGTTGAGTCCTGTGGAAAGAGTTCTGCGTCACCTCATACGGGACCAAGAGAGGCTTTGATAGATTGTTTTGGCATAGCCTTGTACGGGCTCTCTGTTTGGGGAAAGAGTGAAAAAATCGCGAGGAGAGGGAACTTTCAAAGGGAAAGGGTGAGAGTCTGTAGACAAACATTTGGGACCTCTACATTCCGCCTTCTTGTCTTGTAATTACCGATCAATCTGTCAGCAAGATCGTCATCTGTCACATGGGTACATTGGAATGTAATCAATTTCGCGTGTAGGCAACACACAACTTTTACCTCTTGCCAAAATGCTGCTTTTTCTCTGGCCGGTAGTTTTACAAGTCGAAAAAATTTGTCAAATTTCTACCCTTCCCGGACAATCGGACATAGTTTTGGCACACCCTGTCATTGCGCCAAATATTGGCGGGCATCTTAAATAACTTGATTGTTGGTACGTTCGGGCTTGCTGACCATGAGAATTACAAACGCTTTTTTTAATGGCTTAAACGAATATCCTGTTGATAAACCAAATAAGTGGAATAAACAAACCTTGAAAGTTAATAATGTCAACAGGCCAAGGGAAACAAATGAAAGCTTGACAACAAACAGACGAGTCTCTGATGTAGGTAACAATCAAGGCAGCGATCGATGATCCCAAAACGTGCCCACTTTACAGCTGACTTTAAGACACTTATGTTGAAAACATGCTTAAAAATCGATAAAAAGGTAATAAAACTCCAAGACATGTCGTTACGAATGGCCTTGAGCTATGACCCAACCGTAACGAAACCCTACTGAGGCACGAGTGAAACGTCAAGTGCAGATATGACTGAAATAAACTAAGATAACCTACAAATAGGCAGAAATAATACTTCACAACACAATGTTAAATAATACGTTGTATTCAGTGACCTTACCTGCGGTACATTGCAGTCCTTTTTACCTTAAGAGCGGTATTATGAGCGATATTGAAGGATTTTAAATAAGCGGCGTTGATGAAGCAAACGGTAAATCCAGTTTATTTAGGGAAAGTTCATTTAATATGACAAGGGGGGGGGATGAAGATATTGAAACTCGAAGCTTTAAATTTTAGCAGCCCCCCTCGCTAGCGGTTCAATTTTTTAGGAGCCCCCCCCTTGGTAGTCGAAAAAATTTCAGAGCCCCCCCCCCCCCCTCCTCCTCTCCTTTGCTCCCCTGAAAAAAGATCGCTAGACTGTATTAAATATATTTACCGTTATTGTCTTCAATGATTTATACTATGACAAACTTGAGATACAGTTGTGATACAATTTTCTAAAGCATTTTTGGGATGAACAAGAGTGTAATAATTACTGAGACTACATTTGTTATATCTGTAAACCACGTAATATAGCTGAGTTGCACAGGTCATTAAATTGTTGAGTTGAAAACCGTCCGATCTGTATGATGATGTCATGTGTTGGTTTTGAAGTATACAAATTTTCTGAGCCCCCCCTCCTAGCGCAACAATTTTTTCAGAGCCCCCCCTTCGGGTGTCTAAAAATTTTCGGAGCCCCCCCTCAATATCTTCATCCCCCCTTGTCATATTAAATGAACTTTCCCTTACTGCAAAAAAAAAAAAAACAAAACAACAACAATAACAAAAAACAATCGGTTCACAAACAGATTGTATGGGCTTCGTGTGGTCATCATGGTAGTGTGAATCAATTGAATATGAAAAAAATTGCGGTTTTATCCCCGTAATTTCCTAACGGGTCAAGGTCCGAGAAAACGAACGCAACACATTGAAAACCGGTTTTAACCCCTTAAAACAGGTTTTTTATTTTTATTTTTAAAGAATGCGCTGGTACTGTCCAATTCTATTCACCAGTAATCTTTGCAAAAGGTAGTCATTATGAAGGCGTCGCACGAGTTTGTCTTGTTGAGTCTGTTGGTCGGATTTTCCTGGGAAAGTCCACTAAATGCACAGCCGCCAAAGCAATCTGTTCGTCAGGTAAAGCTGCCGTCACAAGCATACTTAAACTATACTGAGTTGCCGGTTAACTTTTGTTTAATCCAACTTTAATTTCAAAGTTGCCGTTCACCCACGTAAGGCCCAACACAGCACGAAAAAGGAAATTTAAACGAGCGAAATGGTAACGTAAAGCTGGTGTAAATTCTCTTTTACTGACTTAACTTAACGACTCATTAACGACATATTAAGGCGAACATTACGCTACCATTACCTATATGCGCAAAGGTATTTTAAAGAAACAGATATGATCTTTGCGTAAAGCTGCTCAAGAAAAATTCTGGATGCCACAAAGAGAACTCTCTCTAAAAACGTGAGTTTTTGAAAAAACCTTTCACGTTAAATGTGTTTTAAAAATTCCTGCGCTGTTTTATGAGTTTGGTCGTTTCACGTTCGAGCCAACGCGAGTCCGAGACTATCACGAGCCATGAGTCAAGCACGAGCCAACCTCGAGTCAAGCCCTAATATGTTACTTCTTATTGTTTTTGAGTTTCATAGCCAAAGAAAAGCAGTTCTAAAGAGGTCTCATTCCGAAAGATTTCCTGACAAATATAACACGCTTCGGCTTAGCTACTCTTACATGTAAGTGCTCGGGTGCTACAAGTATCTTCCCATTCCAAATCAATTTTCAAGTGTGATGTCGATGGAACCTATGGTTGTTACTCGAGAGGGAAGTTAACGTATATGCGATATCGAATTACTGTTAAAACCCATAGATACGGACACTGAAGGCTCGGTAGAAAGTGTCCCAGTGTTTTGGCACGCGGTGTCCGTATTAGGCTAGACCGCGAGCGGTCGTGCTTCTTTCCTCACAGCCACGTGCTGCGAGCGAAAAGGTAAAAATAATGCAAATCAATGTCAAAAAAGGGGGAAAGATTGGGGTTCCGACCCCGTTTCTCGTGCTCGCATTCTACTGTGTCTCAAAAGAAAAATAAGAGACTTCCGGCATAGTCTAGTATTAAGCGGGTCATGATATTAAAGTCAAAAAACACCTTTTTGTGATAACAAAATACAAAAGAAATAAAAGAGGATATTAGCAGTCGTCAAATTGAACATCTCTAACCTTCATGAAGCTCTTATTCTACGGATAAATCCACGGAAATACTAACAGTCGCTTATATATATATTACTTATAAATCAAAACCGTTCTCTGCACAACTCGTTTGATGCTAACGAAATTGGCGTCTATACCTTTTCGGTGTCACTTTATCGCTGGGAAGTGATCGATATGCTGTAGACTAAAGTTTTTTTTTTACCTTAAAAAAGGAAAAGTCTTTTACAACAGACAGTTGACAAGGAAGTGTCCAAATAAAAGAAATTGGCTTTCTAAAAATATCTGTTGATTTGGCAAGAACAGGAGCCCATAATCTGGAGCGAGCAACCTCCACGCACTCGTGCCACGGCGTTTTCACTGACCAGTCTATTTTTAGAACGGTTTTGGTGCGAGTTTAGAATTTCTTTAAAGTCCCAAAAAACAAGTCAGCAAAACCTACAGAGCTAAAAATAATAATTTTTGCCTTTTAATGACGTTACGTTTTCCTTTTTGATACCTTAAACTTCGAATAGGTTCACAGACGTGGCGGAGATTCAATTTTCGCAGGAAAAATTGTCCTAAAATGTGTCTAAAAACAAACCGGTCCGTAAAAACGCCGTTATATAGGCTTAGTATGGGAGTTGCTCGCTCCGGGTTGTGGGCTCCTGGCAAGAAATAGCTGTCCGTTGTCCGTATTAAGCGGGTTCAATTTAGAGAAATTGTAAAGGCTTTCCCCAAGGACAAAGGAAACTGTCCGTAATAACGAGGTGTCCGCATTGAGCGGGTGTCGGTAAAGTGGGGTTTGATTGTTCTTTAAACATGGTTATTATTCATTCAAAATATTTCCCCGATTCTGATTGG